CTAGTCAACCGGCGACGACGCCTCAAACTAGCATCTGAATTCTGAAGCCCTTTGTGTGCACTTTTCCCGCGTCAGTTCCGACTCCGACGCAACGGTATCGGATGTTAGTATTAGTATATTGCATGTGCGTAGATACGAATTTAGAATGTGGCCTTTGGGAGGTTAAGATTGTATAGTTTTTAACTTGAGAGGGTCATTTGTAGAATTTACTTAAATCTATTTGCAAAAACAGGGGAGATTTTGAAAAACCTTAAAATATGCGGGGGGACAAGACCGCTCCTAAGCTCTTTAAATCTGTCCATGAATAAACCCCTCGCTGTCGTTAATTGTCTTGAAGTTGATGTCTGTAAAGATCATGGAGATTTTGTTTCCGACCTCCTCGTCTGCTCGTATTTCCGTTAGAAAGTTAAGACCATCTGTTCTATTCCTTCCACTCGTTTTAACTTCACTAATTTTTCGTTTGTTTTTTAGAATTTATTTTTAAAAAATCTTTTTTTATAAAAGAGAATTTCTGATAAAAAAATATGTTTTTATATCTGACAGTATTATTAGAATTAAAAATAATTTGAGAAACACTTTCAGTTGTATTATAAAAAAATGACCTGAATTGATTTTTTATTTTTTTATTTTTTTTTAAATATATAAAATATTAAATGTGATTATTTTACTTCTCACAGTACAAAAAAAAAGATGTTTTTTATTTTTTAAAAATTTATAAAAAAAATTAAATATGATTATTTTACTTCTCGCAGTAAAAAAAAAGATATAAGAAGTATAACGGTGGAAAAAATAATTTACTGTATCATGTATTTATATATAGTTTATTTCATATTTATAAATATAATATAAATATTTTAAATGTGATATCATAGATACATAACCTAGTTAAATACTCTTTAAGTAAAATCTATTAATATTTTTTTCATTTTAAATCCTTGTAATATTCTTTTTCATATAAAAAAGGTTAAATTAGTTGATGGTATTAGTTTTATCAAATTAATATACTTTTATATTGTATATTGTAAATAAATCATTTTCTTATTTAAATATATTAGCAATTTATTGTTTTCTAATATTATTATATTTGAAGTATTTTATTGGTATATTATTGAAGTGTTGTACCACTTTAATTTTTAAATCCTTCATTGAAAATGTTTTTTTTTGCTCTTTTAAACTGAAAATATTTTTTCAATCTAAAACTTATGTTTTTTTATTGGAATCCCATAACAAGATTTTCACAATGTAACCACACAAGGAAAAGTTAGAAAATGCTCCGTATTAAAACATTTTTCATCAATCAAATAAAACCTAAATACTTATAAAATTCCAAGAAAATAAATGTTCATTTTAAACATAAAGGAGTTCCTTCTGATTTTTGCATGTGATTTTACTAAAATAATTTGTAAGAAAAATACTCAATATAGATTTACTAAAATAATTTGTAAGAAAAATACTCAATATAGATTATAGAGTGCTTTGCAATCAACTTTTAAACTTGATTTATTTATTAAAAAATATTTTTCACTCATAGTAATATTATGAATAATAATTAATTTATAATATCATTTAACAATTTCAATAGTTATCACCGCTATTCCATTACTCCACTGTCACTTTCACTGTCATTGTTACTGCCGCTGATATTCTTCCATTACTCCACTGTCACTTTCACTGTAACTGTTACTGCCGCTGATATTCCACCACCACCATCACCATTGCCCTAGCGCCCCCTCTACAACTATCACCACTAGTACTTCGTTATTGTAGTACACTACCATCATTATATTTATTGTTTTGATTTATCAAATTTTGTACAAGCTTTCATGTAAAATATATAAACCTTTTTTATATATTAAATAATTTACCAGTAAAATATTTTATATAAAACAGATATTCACGAGATAAAAGGTGTCTGTGCACATTTTTAAAAAAGCACGCTGCCCAGTTCCCTTTCTTATCGAACAGAACAAGCAAAATTAGGCTGGAAGTAGCAAATTCAGTTCTGCTTTCTAGTTGCACCAAAAAAGTTATTTGATCTATACAATTATTGACAAAAGCTTTTGCAGCAGATAAAAGCCACTCGTTTATCACCCTTGGTGTGTTTTAGAATACCACTCTTGATCTAGACTATGATATTATTGACGAGGTATCAATATTTAAATTCAAGGTATTTAAGGATAATGTTAATACGTGATGAGATTAGTTAATTTTTTGGTTTAAGTAATTTGTTTTTATTCCCAGCCAAAATGTTTGATGGTTTAATATTAACATCTCAAATGATTGGGAGCTGAGATATGTATAGTAAATCAAAATGGTTAGTACAAAATAAATATAAAAGATTTCATTTGATAAATATAGTAATTTTTATATAATTAAACAGGCAACTTTATAAAAATATATTTATATTTTAGAGAGATAAATTATAAAAACATACATACTATAATTGTTAAAAATTAAAATTTAAAAAATTCATAATATATTTATAACCTATAAATTTTTTTTTATAAAAATAAATTCAAACACATTACTTAACACGTAAAGCTTGAGCATGAAAGTCTTGGGCATGAGCCCATGCATCTTGAGAATAAATTAGGCTCGCGTTAGCCTGAGCCTATAAAGTTTTTTTTGGGGGGTCTTTGGGGTTTTATGGGATTTTTGAAGGCTTTTTTTAATTAATTACATTTAAGTTTATTAATTAAATTATTTTTATATATAAATTAATTTATATTTTATCTTATTCAATAACCCTGCATGTCTTTATTTGAGATATTTGATTCCTTTATATAAAAATAATATATTTTTTATTGTTTCATATTGTTTTTCCCAAGACGTAAAAAGAGCTAAGATAAATGCAGTCATCATATATATATCTGCATTCATGGATCCACTCAAGCCATGGTATAAATGCTCGATCTTGATAGCATACTGAAGGTTCATTCCACCTCGTGCGACCCACAAAACCCTCATAAAAAGAAGGAAGTCTGCAATAGTCTACAGACTACAGTAAAACAGTTGTTCAAGGTAGAAGTAATAAAAAGATTAGGGTTGCAGTGCTTGCTTGTGACAGGTAGCTATGCTGCTATAACCCTAGCTATGGACAGAAATGAAGCAGCTGACAGGTTGCTGTGTGGAGATGGTTCCTTAGACCGGGTTCCATGAAATATCCAGGTAAGGAATGGATCTATAAGTTTTATTAGGCCACTTATAGAGATTAAAGATAGAGGAGTTAAGACTGTCATCAGACTTTAATGGGCAGTAACAATTGTTGATGATACACAGAAATTATCAAAACCCAGAAAAGATCATCCAGAAAGAGATGACCTTCACTTAACAAATTTAATACAAACTGCTTCCTTGACCGTTCAACACAGTTTAGCGGGCCCTTTCCCGCGATCATCTTAAAAGGGACCAGGCTACGTAGAAGAGTCAAATTTTTAATATGATTTTTCATACACGTTCAAATAAAAAAATATATTCAAAAAAATCAATTTTATTTTAACATATTTAACATTTATACAACTATTAATTAACAGTAACGAACTAATACAACTTTAATCAAAACCTCTCTTCTACATAAAAAAATACTAAACAAACTTTTAACTCTCTTGTTCAACACGTAGAAATAACTCTTCAACTTAGAAATACTATTTTGACACTTCAATATAGCTCTTCCCTTGGAGCTATAAAAGTAAGAGATGAAAGACATAATTTTTTGTCATTTTATTAGTTATTTTTTTGAAGATGCCCTTCATAAATCACCCTCCTCTCAGTATACAGATTCAATTAATAATATCAAATACTTGGTATATTATATTTATACAATTTTATAAACACATGAAAATATATACTGTAGAATAATATTTTATTTAAAATTTGTTAAATTTTATTACCACTTGTGTTCTATAGAGAGTAACCCTCGGGTATAAATATTGAATACATTATTATCCTAACTTTATGGACATCTAGTATAGAAACGCTCCCACGATCATAGCTATTAATTTTCATTTGAAGTTCTAATTTAGTTTTTGAAATGAAATTAGTAACAAAGTAAATCCTTAGCTGGAAATTACTAAAAATAATCATAAATGGGTTAATTCTTCATACACGCCTTCGATCATCACATTCCGGACCCTGTGTTATATATAGAACACCAGTATTTAATTAACTATAGTGTATTATGGAAATTAATACTAGCAAAAAAAAAAAAAAACATACAAACCAGTAGGTAAGGTAGATCATAATCAGCGAGTATAGAATCTAGCTAGTTAATGAGTAATATGCTCGACAAGCTTTTCGAAACAAGAACAGTAGCGGCACTCTTTTTTTTCTACAGGATGAGAGGCTGAGAGCTATTTCGTAGCATTTTTTTTAACAATCAAAATTAAGTATTTTAACCACTAGATCTGCTTCTCGAGGCTGTAATGGCACTTATTAAAGCATCATTTGCCAGGGAGGCCAACCACGCAGTTGGTGCCCTACCAAACCGTTACTAAAAAATAACGTAACTTAAATGACCGGGAGTTATTTTTTTTAGTAATAATTATTTTTAAAGCTTAAATGACCGGGAGTTATTTTTTTTAGCAATAATTATTTTTAAATTAGTTTTTATTCAAAAATATATAAAAATAATATTTTTTAAATTTTATTTTTAATATCAGCACATCTAAATAATTTTAAAATAAAAAAATAATCTAAAGTGTTTTTTCATTGAGAATTATTTTTAACATAAATACATTAAAATAATCTAAAAATATAAAAGAATTAATTTGAAGTAAATAAAAAATTAAAAATAACTTAAATTTTTTTAAAAATACTTTTAAACACAATAACAAATATAGAAAAAATTTTATGCTGATGTGTCAGATGAGAAAATTGAATATTGACAATCAATCCACATAATTGGCTTATGTTTTTTTTTTCTTTAAATGGCTCCCGAATATGACACACGACACGACATCATGTATACAAGTTTTTTTTCATATATATATATATATATTGTATCTTAAATTTTACCACTGACATCTCTTCTTATGATTACATTATGTATTATACAAGAGCTTGAATTTTCAGCACCGGTGATGATAAGCATATGACTTCAGGGACATTAATTAGGCTCTCGCTGAAATGTCCTTACGATAGGAAAAAGAGTTCGGACAATTCTCAGCTGAAGAATAGACCCCACTAGGATCTGCTATATCCACATTGATGCATGAACATGGCACCTGGCCCAAGTTGGTTGCGACCTAGTCCAGTGCCAAGGCATGGCCATAAGCATGGAAGCTCGGAGGGAGAACAAGAAAGCAATTGAATAAACCGAAGGTGAGGACAATTTGTGTGCTGGAACAAGGTTCAATTATTTTAGTTTATGCAATCAAACATCCTGAAGGAATGTCGTGCCCTTTGTCCAATACCTTGTTATCATATGATGGATTCATGTCAGAACACCGAGATATACATCAGAACCTACGGATGGAATTGCAAGCGGCAGCTTTCTGCCACGTGGCATCCAAAAAACAGGCTGTTGAATAAGCATCCTTCGCAGTGATTGGTTGAACCGGCGTCGTAAATTCACAAAGCTTTCCTCCAAATGCTCATCTTTTCCAAGTCTAGAGACTAGGCTATTTTGGGATATAACTTGCAGGTAAACTTTTTCAGCTCGGTTAATATGCATACAATGGAACTGAGTTCACACAGGATATTCACATATCATTCCGTGAAAATTACTTACTTTAAGATCACTGTGCACTGTGCAAGTCTTTACGCTTCTACGGTTCCATGTAAACCGCCAAAAATAAGATGAGCAGTCACTTTTAGTGCCATCGATGTCTCCATTCTACCATGCACAAGCTCCTTCCTGACCTATCAAATTACTTTAGGAAGGATGTCAAGAATTCGAAACTGTAATCACACGTAATGGAGCTTCAGCAACGTTCCCATATTCAGGTCCCACACCATATTAACAGTTGAGGAAAGGAAGAGGAGGCCTACCAAGCACGGAATCCGTTCTCCTTTATTTTCATCTTTGCACCTGCCCATACATAATCGAGTAAGACTTGACAACACAAGATTCTCCTCGGGGAAGGGGGGAAGATTAAAGATAACAATTTTTCAAGGCTACCAAGAGATACGAAAAAAACAAATTTTCATGGATGCCAAGATGTGGGTCAATGTTACATAATTAAACAAGACAATCGACAACGAGTTCATATATCGTGGTTGCCCAGATAGAAATAAAACAATAACGAGGACAGTGTTTCTACAGAAAACCAGGTGGCTTTAAACTGCTGCAATGCAGAGGCCCCACCAACTAAAGGACAGCGTACAAGATATGCCATTCTTGCATCCATTGAACAGCCTGTAAAGTACTTTCACAGTAGCAGATGATGATTATAACAGCAATAAGTTAATCTCCACGAACTGTTAATTATTTTCTTGCCCAACTAAATGGAAAGGATGCAGCAGGTCAAAATTAAGGATCCTGAGTCAATGAAATTCAATGTCAAAAACTTCATGTCACATAGCAAAACATTTCTGAACCAAATGTTCAGCGCCATGATTCCCATGTTTCTATTCATGATTGCTTGCAAAAAGGCTTAAAAATTAAATCAAGAGACTAAATTGGTCGGGAATAAAGATTAGGAACATAAAAACCCAGGATTATGTCAATCCAAGAGCAATAGGGACCAGAATTGAACAATCAATATATAACTCAACGTGGTTTAATACCTTCAAAGTCTTCCACAAAGCAACCCGAGACTTTTAAATGGCTACACTGGAAAATCTTCAAAGTCTTCCACAAAGCAACCCGAGTAGGATACCCGAGACTTTTAAATGGCTACAGTGGAAATTAGTTGTACAAAGATACTTGCAAAGTTCATGCACGCACCAGTAAAATAAGTGAATTAGATTTGACAGCACAATTATACCCCATGATCATAACCTTGAATCAGTCTTCCCATCTTCAGTAACACTTAACCTGTGTTTAGATTGCAATAGATGGGACTAGAAGGTGGTCAGCAAGCACCCTAAAATTAGGCATTTATAAAGCAGGAAAAATCCACACCAAATATTTCAACGATGTATCCATAACATATTGTTCATGGTCACAAAAGAATTCATGAGGTTGGATTGATACATACCAAACTGGTGTAATACATGTAAGCAAACCCCTGAATCAGACAGTTATAGTGCATTAGCAATCGCAAAAAAATGCCATCAATAAAAGAGATAATAAGGATGAGGGTTAACTTCAAAAATGCCCTTCACCTATTAGCTCATTAACAATGTTACCATTTACCAATTCACGGAATCAATTTTGCCCTTAATGTTACCACATGTCTCAATGTCACCCTTTCATCCAGTCCCTATTAAAATAGTTGATAGAACTGTCAAAATACTCGACATGCCATGGAGGCATTTCATTAACGGGGAAAAACTGCCAAAAATACCCAGATTGCAAGTGGGTGATTTTGGGTATTCTGGCAGATCCATTCCTCGTGAGTTTATGAAACATGCACATGACAGGTTAGTGATATGACGACTTGTTAACTATTTTTTATAGAAACTAGATGAAAAGGTAACATTGAAAATGTTCGGTAATGTTAAGGGAAAATTTGGTTTCTCAAATTGGGAATGGGCAAAATCAGAAATGAACAATACGAGAGGGGTACTTTAGTAGTTAATCCCAAGGATAATCTTTGAGAATACAGTTAAGGTGATCTCAACAGATTATACCACTTTGAATAAGTTCGGAAGACCACTTAATTCGTACTCGTTGCTGAGATGCTTAAATATCCTTGAAGTGACATTCTGGTAGCAGGAAAGAATAGTAGGACTTTCTTATTCACTTGACTATTCCTCAAGGTTGTTATAGGCTTAAAGCCACTGCTCGAAATCCTCCCAACACTGCCAAATTCAATTGAGTTTTTAAACGTTTCCTTCCAGAACAGAGTTTGAGAAATAAAGGTAGTTCTTGGAGTCTCCCAATCTGAGAGATTTAGGATTCACATCACTGGGATGGAACATGTACTCTCCCTACATAATGCAATGACTTCGCCCGTGGATGTAGGCGGTTTGCCGAACCACGTAAAATACCGTTTCTCAGTGTGCTTCTCCTTCTATGAGCAAATATCAGTACATCACCGGTCGGAA